GTGTCCGGTGCCTTGCTCAAAGGCACCACGGCAGTGCAGGAGGTGAACTGGTCGGGGACTTGAACCGGCGACCCTACGGCTCACAGTCCAAGCCCCTAGTGACTGAGCCACTGCTGTGTGTGTGTGTGTGTGTCTCAATACATGATAACATTTCCATGCGTGTGAGTTCTATACACATATTTAGATTTTCTGTCCACTTTCTACTTAACCTTGTAATATCACTGTGTCCGTTTGACTCAGCAATGACAGTAAAATGTTAACATTGCCAACAGCAGTGAAAACGTACATGACCAAACACTTAATCTGTATCAGATTTCCTTTGTGTCGGTAATTAGAATTGAATCTAATTATCAGTGTAACTAGGAATAGTGTGTGAAAAGTTGCAGTGCTGGCATTATTTACGCTGAGCAAAGACCCACCAGTATGACCCCTCTCTCAGAGGAGGGGATGGAGATCCGATGGCCCAGCATCTCCACAGTGGCTGAGCGCACGAAGGAGCCTTCAGAGTTTCCTCGCAGCTCATTCTTGCTGATCACAGTGAACGATGTCAGGGAGGGGTCGAGACCTGGGGAAGTTATTTATGTTAATGTTAGCAGTGTGACCATTGACTTAAAGGCCAGTGAACCTGAAGTGATGAATGCTAACTCAATTCAAGGATTTGGGACTCATTCCTGCACCACTCTATTTTTTTGGTAGTCATTTTAATGGAAAGAGTTGACAATGTGAGTGTTGAGCAGAGCAGACAGACCTGTGGTGTTGACCAGAACGTAGGTGCAGGTTCCCTGGAAAGAGTACCGCGTATTGTCAAATGTGCTGTAGTGCGGGTCGCCGAAAGCCCAGCACAAGGCTGTAGAATCAGGAACACACACTCCCTGGCCTTCTGACACCGCACAGTGCTCCTTTACTCTGCACTTAACCTCAGCACAAGGGTCTGCAACATACACCCACACACACACACACATACACAGGCACACACACACATACACGCACACAGGCACACACACGCACACACACACACACACACACATACACACACACATACACAGGCACACACAGGCACACACACACACACACACACACACACACACATCACACACACACACACACACACACACACACACACACACACACACACACACACACACACACACACACACACACACACACACACACACTCAGGCACAGGCACACACAAAAACACATATGGTTATTCAGGTTAAGAGAAACTCAAAGTAAGTGATAAAATAAAACACATGGGACAGCAAAATAGAAAACACTGTTAAAGTGTTGGCATTTTGAAGTTGTACATTTGTTATCACTGTTATAGGGAATGACACCGTTTACTTGCCTCTGTATTTACTTGTCTGAATCATTGAGCTCTGCCCCCTGTGTAATGCTGTATTGCTTTTCAGAGAGTTCCAAAGAGGTCAAGACATTTCTGTGACTCTGGACTCTGGAGGAACACTGAGCTGCTATGGACGTCTCACTTCCCCATTCTTCACATAGCTACATTTGAAATGAGTGAGTACAGTACACCTCCCTCAATATCTGTCAGGAGTTTGCGTTGTTATACTCAATCTGAATGATTCATCTGTACTCGCTGCTTAATGACAGCAGGCAGCTTTTTCCTTATTGAATTAATTGAGAATCACACTCACGCTGGCATTGAACATATTTCAACTATATAAATTATATTAAGCAGATATTTTAATTGTTTTTTTAAAGCTCTAACTGGTGTTGGTGCTAGCTCTGAATCAGATTTACTTTTAACATATGAACCCTTAGGACCCTCAGGTCCTCTGGTACTAGACTTCTAATGTAAAGATAAAACAAAGACGATTGTGGATCCACCTTCCAGAAGCCCTGAGGGGGCAGTGTTCTTTCTTTAGAGAGCCAACGCAAGACCCATCTTTTCAAATTGGCTTTAAAAATAGGTGCTGTTGCACCTGTAGCCACACCCACCTGTTATGTCACAAATAACTGACACACCCTGGAGTGCACTGATGCTGATAAGATGTTCTCCAGTACTGTGCATGCCTTGCTTCCTGAACACTACAGAACATGGCTAACAGTCAGGGATCAGTCCCACCTGTAGAGAAGCAGCCCAGCGCTCCGTCCTTGTTGCGACACTCCTGCCCCTGCTGGCAGCTGGTGGATTTGCAGCTGTACCTCCCCCCTTCACAGGCACAGCGCTCGGAGCAGCCCTCCAGCAACACTGATGTCCCTGACTGAAAATACATGAGAGCACACATCAACTTAAACCATCTTATGCCTAGCCTACTGAGATTTCCTTTTTTCGCTTAGATGTGTTTTTTATCCCATTAACACTTCAGAATCAGAAATAGTTTATGTCTCCCACAGCGGGGAAAAGTACAGTGTTATAGCAAAGGGAACAGTGAAGATAAAGGAAAAACGAAATAAGCAGACAGACATATTAAATAAAGAAGCGAGCATATGTTATTAAATACAAAACAGGACCAAACAAACAAAGAATATGTAGCAGCCTTATCAGAGTAACAAAACATAGAACAGTTTTGCATAGCAGCCAGTTAATTGTAAAAGAGTGTGTATTGCAGTGTTATTTCACAACAGTGCTGTTAAAGTCTTAGGTAGTGAATAGCAGCCAGTAATAGCAGTATTAAATGTAAAAGGTGTGTAATTTGCATACGACATCAAGGCCCCTTTCTGATATGAACGTAGTCTTGAGTGCGCCTTACATGAATTCATGATCAAAGTTGAATTTGAAATTGGACTAACAACATATTAGAAAGTGCTTGGCTCTCATCCTGTACTGAATAAACATTATGATGTGGATGATAGTAGTCACCCTGTAATATTTTCCGTCCACCACGCAGCCACACTTCTCCACGGGGACACAGCGGGCGCCGTCAGACATCAGGCTGTCGGCACACTGGCAGCCCTCCTGGCAGGAGGGGCAGGGGGCGGAGCTCTGCAGGGAGGAGCAGGTGGAGGAGCAGGAGGAGGAGCACAGCTCGTAGCGACTTCCTGCCACACAGCTCACAGCTGCAACAGCAAACAGTATTCATTTGAGTCAAATCTAAAAATATTAAGACAGTTTTTCTGATTTCTGTTTTTCAATCATTCACAAGTTGACTGTTTGATGGCATGTTTAATGATGTCCTGTACTGTTACATCAGATTAGAAGATGAAACGAATTAACGCGTACAGTCTCTGAAGTGACCTACATTTTCTTTTTAAATTCAATTAACACCCTCTAACAAATTCAAAAACTCAAATGAATTTTCTTTAATATTTTTGTTTTTATTGTTTAATGTACTTATTATCACAGGACCATCTTACTAAAGGACATGAGAGGGTAGAATCAGCCGCATTCAGAGAATGATCCGGCAGACTCACGACAGAAGCTGTCACTCCTCCAGGTCCTGATCTCTGCTCCGGCAAGCTGACAGGTCGTCACGTAGCTCTGGATGTGACGACATAGGACGGCCTGGCCCGCTCCGTCTGTCGACATCTCCCTGAAATACAAAACCTCTGTCATTAGGGAACAACTGGAAGGGCCTTAACAGAGAAACTTTAGTTTGGTGTAGGAACATTCTGCTTTATTATATTTGTTTTGTCTCTCAATGCTTTCATACTAAATGAGTGGCGGAGATCTGGGAACGTGGAGACAATGTTACAACACTGACTGGTCAGAGGGTGATCATATGATCAGAAAATATAAAGTACTTTGGTAATGTTAGAAATTAAAATCAATGTTTTGATGGTATAATGTAGCTTAAACATACCGTCAGTTTAAACGCTCTTTTATACTGAAAAACCAGAAATTATTGTGCACAAGCAGTGAAGCTTTTATTCTGAAAATCCTTCATCTACGGTTAGCATTTAGCATGTGGCTAATATACGATTTCCTAAAGAGGTGAATTGAGTAGCGAAATGACGTGGTGTGGTGAAAACAGAAACCTACTGATTTAACACTACAACTATAGATGTCGAGATATTACCATGCTGAATATTAAATGAAAGTACAGTTTATTTGAATACACTATTGTTTACAGACGAGAGTAGCATGTGACAACATCCGGAATGACCGGAAACCAAACCAGCCGTGAAGCATTTTCTGTATGTTTTATTTAGAGTATTGATTACAGCGTTTAGAATGTGTTACATGAAAAGTGATGAAAGAGAATATGAGGAGAAAAGGCGTGTTAAGCATATGTTGAAGGCAGTGGCGAAACTACCAGGGTGGCATGGGGTGGCAGCCGCCACCCCTGAAAAGGGGTCTGCCACCCCACCTGCCACCCCAGTCAAAAAATACCAACTGATGATTTATTGGATAATTATTATTAATATCGTTTTAAGATCAAAACAAATTCAAAACAATCCAAAATCGGTGTCAAACTGCAGAATGTCAAATTTGAAAAAGAAAC